CCCTTTGGAGCCATGTTTCATGGCAGCCTCCAGAAGACAAGCTCTTGGCTGTTTCTCCCTCATTGCTTGGGAAATGGCTCTGTAGACCAGGCTGGCCTTGAACTCACAAAGATCTGACTGCCTCTGCTGGGATTAAAGGTGTGCGCCTTGATTCTTACCCTAAAGGTGGCTGATTCATTTGGAGGGCCAAGTCACAGGCCTGTGGTGAACACGAGGCCTCTCTGGATGAGAGAACAAGACCTAGTCTTACCAATGCCCCAGTATGTCTGCTCAGCCAAGGCAACTGGGGAGACACAGCCAAGAGCTGGAGGCTACCGTGGAGCGTGGCTCCAAAGGGTGTTTCTGGGCTGTGCACCAGCAGAGATTCTCGGGCTCTACCCGAATCTTGGAATATACTAAGAGGGAAGACGATGGCCAGGAGACCATTGGAGACTTTGGGATTAAGGAGATGTGAATTTAAATCCTGACTCTACCAGTGCTTAGCTTGGCAGCCAGGAGCAAGAAACTTCCTCTTCTATTCCTGTACCCATCAAATGGGGACAATGCCACCTACACAGTCTAGGTTTTAAGGATTAGAGAAAGAATGTATACAAAGCACTTAACATTATGGCTGTTGTGGAAGCTGCTTTGCAGTGACAGCTGCTCTGGGGTTCCTGACGTGCGACGAAAGGGCAACACCTCAGAACGCTTAGACGGCAAGAGAGGCACCAGTGTGTCTGTTTAATGCTCTGTTCGGAATGTGAGGCCTGCTATGAGCTAGAAACTGTCTACCCCACCAGTAATTTCAGACTCCCCCAACAAATCAGTAGGACCTAAATGGCAGAAGATTGAGGCGTTTACTCTAAATGTTAGATTCAGAGACTCTGAAGCCACAGGGGCTCTTAGAGGTTTTCCTTGTGATTCGAGTCACTTCCGAGACAAAAGAAACTAGAATCATTTGATGGTAAGAACAGTGCTTCAAAAGTCACCTTGGGGCTGCCAAGAACATCTGGCCTGAGCTATGCCACAGACTTAATATTTATTCTCTTATCCTACAGAGGGATGAGGAAAAGCTTGGGGTGGTGGTGGTGCACGCCTTTAATCCCAGGACTAAGGAGGCAGAGGCAGATGGATCTCTGAGAGTTCCAGGCTAGCCTGGTCCACACAGAGTTCTAGGACAGCCAGGGCTATGCAGTGAGACCCTGTCCCAAAATAGGAAGAAGAAATGAGAGCCTTCAGTTGAAGTAGCTATGTGTGAGAGTTTGAGTAAGAAAGCAGCAGACATTACTTGTGATTATTCTCACGTATTACAGTTTGGAGGACACGAGGGACATGCTGGACGCACACAATTACCAAATCTAATACCGTGAGGTGCCTTCCGCCAGGGCCCCTGGACCTGGACCTTTCACTCTTCCGGCAGAAACAGATATGCTTTGAGATGGAGAGGCAATAGCTCATTCTTGAGCTCAGGCTAGAGCAGAACTATATCATCGCAGGAGGGCACTGGGGAGGGGTGTGCTCAACTTCCCATTACTTCTCCAGCAGATTACTTACATAATTTAGACAGCCAGTCAGAGGCAATGCATTTGATTTTATGTGCATGAATGAGCAACAGAGCTGGCTGTTCGTCAATGCTAAATGAGAGATGACCTACAGTGGAAATCCAGTCTTTACTGGAGGCCATGTCTTCAGGAGGTCAGGATTCACCAGGGACACTGCATTCTTAGCTGAGTATTATCTGACTGGTTACCACATGGTCCACACAAACCTAAACCAAACCAAACCAAACAACCCCACCTCAATGAAACTTCCAACATTATCCCTGGGTCATATTCTCTGATCACATACCCACCCCCGACTGTACTTGCTGCCTGTCTGGACCTCTTGAACTATCCAGTGGAGCATTAATCTCCAAGGCTCTAAAGGTATTTTGGAGCAAATCAAGTCTGGCAACGGCATCCCTCCTTTGGGGATTAGTAACGGACATTAGCATATTAAAAGCTAGCAGGAACAGTGCTTTAGGGGAGAAATCCTGTGACGCTGGCATTTTCCAACTTATTTAGATTATGGAGCACTTTTCTCTGCAAACCTAGGGAGGACTCATTACCATATTGATCACACCGCTGCTTGGGGAAACTCTGCTCAACTCTGCTTCGGGGTTGATTTGTGAGCTCTGAACTAGCCAAGGAGGAAACGGTGCCAGGGCCTCGGAAAGATGCCAGTGTCTGAAGGTCTTAACCTTTCCAGAAAAAAAGGAGACAGCTGAGACCAAGAGCATCTGAGACTGAGAAGAGGCAGGACAGAGGGTCGGCTGCTTCGGCCCTGCTCTGCTTCTGCGCCCACAGCGGTGTCGGGGTTCCACCCTAAGTCTCCACATTTCCTGGCTCATTAGCACTTCCCGTGCTAACTAGACTGCCCGTATACTCATCTTGCCTCCACTCCTGAGAGCTTCGTGAGGATAGAACCCCATGGCCAGGACAGCAGCTGTGTTGCTGGCTAAATAAACACATGAGCAGCATCACACTGTGGTCACGTTATCAACTTTGGAACAGGACCGTTAGCAAACGCACAAGGTGACAGTTCTGTGTGCATTCGTCCTCTGACACCCTATGAGTTAGTATCTTTATCCTTACTTTAAAACCACAGAACGAGTCAATGCTGCCCAGCCTATACATGGTAGCAGCCAAGACAAGCTGGGGCAGGGTGACATGAGTACCTGTGTTCTTTAGAGTCAGGGTCTCCTGAAGCCCAGGCTGGCTTCACACTAATTATGTAACCGGAGTTGGCCTTGAGATTCCCATCCTGCCTCTCTACTCCTAAACACTGGGATAACACACATGACCAAACCCAGAGCTTTGTGCATGGTAGGCAAAAACTCCACGAACTGAGCCACTTCCCAACTTAAAGCCTGTGTTCTTAACCACCGCACCATGTGTCCTTTCTTCTGGGGTTCATCTCAGTACTAAAATTTACACAGTTCTGTGGCGAGAGGAGAAAAGGCCTGGACTTGCTGTAGGTAGACTTATTCTATCTCAGGTGTTGCTCTAGGCATAGAGAATACACAGGAAGTCGTAAGAATTTAGTCTGATGGCAAACAGTCTACACAGCAATGTGCAAACCTCCACACAAACTCAGTGAGAGATGCTGTAAGAAAGAATAGGATGGCCGGGTGGTGGTGGCGCACGCCTTTAGTCCCAATGCTTGGGAGGCAGAGGTAGGCGGATCTCAGTGAGTCTGAGGCCAGCCTGGTCTATAGAGCGAGTTCCAGGGCAGCCAGGGCTGTTACACACAGAAACCTTGTCTGGAAAGAACTGAAACCAGGATGCCATGACACAAGGCGTTGGAGCTAGCTGAGAATGGACGTGGTCAGTGCAGCTGTGATTGAGAACCTTGAGATAAGGATAGCCTGGATGGCTAGCTGGGCTCTGAGACCTCATAAGACCAAGTAGGTGAAGACATTTAGGGATGTAGAGGGGAAGGCCACATAGAGATAGGACAGACATGGTCGCTAAGCACCCACAGGTCAAGGAACACGCCTATATCCACCAGAAGCTGAAGAGGCAAGAAGGATGCTCTTTGAGGGCCTTTGGAGGGAGCACGGCCCTGCTGGCATCTTCATTTCACGCCCCATGACTTTAACACTCAACTGTGAGAGAATAAATTTCTGTTGCTTTAAATCAAGTTTGTGGTAATTTTCTGTAGCAGTCCTGGGAGACACAGGCATGTGGTTCATTCTGCTACTTGGCATGAAGCTAGGCCCTACCCCCTTGATATCTATCAATGTACACTCAGGGGATCCAACGTAAAACATATAAACCAAACCAAGACGTCAAAGTAAATGACCCAGCACTGCAGGCCTCAAAGCTAAATGTATTTCTGCGTGTCAGGCAGGGCTCTGTAATCTGCACCCCGCCTCTGGGTGTAAGCGTGTGAGTGCACAGAGGCCCGCCATCTTACTCTGTAAACGGCCCAAAGTCATTTGAAAGAAACTCCCCTACCACCTTTTTAATCACTAGGTTGCATTTCTCTTCGTTACCACTACCCTGAATCATTTTATTTTGTACACCCTATAATTTTAACACAGATAGTGATTCATCCCATATAGTTTTCTTTAAGTGGTTTCGTTGGCTTTAGTTGAGGAGGAAAAAAAAAAACCCAGAAGCGCTTATTAATTCTATTTTTGTAACTTCTGACTTTAAACCTTATGTTTTTGGATTTGCACATGGTATCTAATCCTGCCGTGTGAGCTGGCAACACAGTCAAAGCTGTTTGGGAAGGAGGATTTGGTAATACCTCCCCATGACATCCGCATCATGGTTCCCCAAAAAGAGCCTACAGAAATGAGAGGAGGCATTATTTTAAGCAAACAAATGCTATTTTAAAGAACTATATAGATAGATTAAAATAAAAAGCACCCGAATTGGAAAGGAAGAAAAGTGAAAGGAGTTCTGGCTGCAAGCAGAGCCATCTCGTTTGTTTCTCTAGCCTTACTGACGTACAGCTGACAAAGTGATATATGACATATGACAACATGACGTTACCCACGCCCTGATTCTGCCTCAGAGGAGAGAGGTTCTGAGGCGCTCTCTGCTTGGCTTCACGCCTGTTTCCAGACGTCACAGTGATGGTCTGCCCTGTCTGCTGCACCATCTGATGCACGTGCCGAGCTTGGCGTCTCTGGGTGAAGTGTAAGGCTCATTTAAGGCCGACACAAGAGAATAAACCACCTGGTGGTGTTGGCGCACGCCTTTAATCCCAGCACCTGGGAGACAGAGGCAGGCAGGTCTCTGAGTTTGAGGCTAGTCTGGTCTATAAAAGGAGTTTCAGGACAGCCAGGGATACACGGAGAAACCCCGTCTCAAAAAACCAAAACCAAAACCCCAAACCAAACATATAAACAAACAAAAAGAGGAAACTGAAGGGCAATGCCGAGGAAAGCTGACATTTTAAGGGGAGCCACTCACCTAATGGATACAGATTAATGCTTATAGCTTCAAGAAAGAAACTTCCGGGCTTCTTACCTTTATCGAGAGATGCTCCAGCCATGTGGTAAAAGCTCAACGCAGTGTCCACGTCATTAATGTTCTTCAGGAAAGTGAAGAAGTTCTCTACCTCCTGGAAAGTCAGGCCCTGGAAGAGGAGCGGCAGCAAGATAAGGCAGAGCCCCCCACAAAGAGCAAAGCCAGAGAAACCAGCGGGAACACACTCCCCCCCAACTTAGAGATGCTGGGCCAGTCAGTCAAGGGTGGGCAACTGTGTACACACAGGACAAAAGTCTAGAGCAGTGCTTCTCCTCCTTCCTACTGCTGTGACCCTGTCATACAGTTCCTCACGTGGTGGTGGCCCCCAACCATAACATTATTTAGTTGCTATTTCATAACTATAATTTTGCTACTATTATGAATCGTAAATACCTGATAAGCAGGATATTTGAGATGTGGATTGCTGGGGCTTCAGGTTTCCATCCCTGAACTGCAGAGCCCAGGAGCACAGTAACGAGAAAGCTGGAATACAGGTCACCTCCAGCTCGTCCCTAGCGCTCTCCAAGCAGGGCCAAGTGAGTCTATCTTAGCACATCAAAGAGCTAGAATTCTGAATGTAGGGTTGTGTCATGTGACTTTCTGTAACCTTTCTCTTTGGAGAATCAGAGAATTTAAAAGATGTTTTACTGCACAGTATGACGACTCTAAGGGTGCATAAAATACAAACACTCAAACTTAAGAAGCAGTTATTAAATAGCACCCACAGGATCTCGTTTGGGCCCAGGAGCAGCATCCTATTAGATTCCTCCCCCACTGGGGTAACTACAACACGAGGAACTGTATTAAAGGTCACAGCATTCGGGAGGCTGAGAGCCACTGCCTTGGTCTATTTTTGAACTTTATAAGTGGAATTAAGCAGCATGCATTTGCTATGTATGACTTTTCCTTAAGGTCTGCCCCATGTTTTTGTTTATTACTGCTTATTTTTATTGTATAAAGTAAAGTATTATATCATATAAATATATCACATGTGTTTTTCTTTTTAAAAGAATCCCTATGTTGCCAGGTGGTGGTGGTGTATGTCTTTAACCCAGCACAAGAAAGGCAGAGGCAGGTGGATCTCTGTGAGTTTGAGTCCAGCCTGGACTACAGAGTGAGTTCCAGGACAGGCTCCAAAGCTACAAAGTGAAACCCTGTCTTGAAAAACCAGGAAAAAAAAAAAGGGTTTATTAGGGTGTGTTCGTGTTTGAGAGGGAGTTCTCTCCTTCCACCTTTGCAAGGGTTCCTGGGATCAAGCTGAGGTTACCAGGTCGTGGGTGCCTTCACCCATGGAGCCATCTCGCTGCTCACAAACTATTTTCCTGTTTCAACAACGGGTAATTTTCAGTTTTGAAGAGTTATGAACAAAGCACACCTATATTCCCACATCTAGTCAGGCACTCATGCAGTCCCTACCTTGATGGACCAAGGGGCATCATTTTTGCAGACCCTAATTTCGGATCATTTCTTTGGCCTTGATGTGGGCTGCCCAGAGTTGGGGATGACCCCTGAGGTGGATGCTACAGTATGCTGGTTGACAGAAGCAGTTGCCTAGCACCCATCTTGTAGACGAGGGTGCCACTGGAGGAGAAGCACAGGCTCTACAGTATCACTGTATCTGCACTTGCTATGCATGGTACCACTTCCTCCATCCCTCAGAAGACCATGCAAAGATGGAGGCAACACAAGCGTCCCCTGAGAGATGGACCAGTAGACCAAATGAAGAACCCAGGCCTGCCTCACCTTCCTTCTCCAGGTAAGGGTGGTACACATCTGAGGTTTCTACATTCTAGAGACTGAGGCAGGAGAGTTTTGAGTATATTTGCCCGGGCTACATGGTGAGACCTTAGACAAAACAACAACAAAATAATAAAGGACATGGAGGAAGATTTTTTTTTGTTTAATTACACTTATATGAGACACTTGGGCTAGGCAAAATTATAGACAATGTAGGCTGGTGGTTACCACAGGGAGCAGGGAGCTACTGTGTAGAGAGTTTCAGTTTGGGAAGGTGAACACAGTTCCGGAGATAAGGCGGATGGGTGCCCAATAATGGCAATGCACTTGAAACCCCCGAACCACACAATTAAAAATGTTTAAAATGGCAGCTTCTGTGCATATTGGGACACATACACAAAATGCCCTAAGGCTTTATAGCTTTGCAGAAATGAAGAGAGGATTCGGTGAGGAAGAGCAGACAGCGTTCTTACTCTTCTTCCTTTTCAGAGCAGTTTTCTAGGGTGGCAGAGATGGCTCAGCAGGGCAGAGCACCGGCTGCTCCTGCAGAGGACCCAGGTTCTCAGCACCCACATGGTGGCTCACAACTGCTTGTGACTTGGCTCCAGGGGACCTGGTGCCCTTTCTGTCCTCCTCAGACAGCAGGCATGCACATGGTGCATGAACTTAACATACTCATCCATATAATAATCAATATAAAAATACTCATTCACATAAAATAAAAATAAATAAAATCTTAAAATACAATTGTAAGCAGGGCATGGTGGCACATGAGGCAAGTGGATCTTTGTGAGTTCCAGGCCAGCCAGGGATACACAGTGAGACCCAGTCTCTGAAAACAAACAAGCATGAAAACAGCACCACCACCTCCAGTTACTGTGTGCTTGTGCCTGCCTGTGGGCATGTACCATGGTGTGTGCGGAGGCTGGAGAGAGCTTCCAGGAGTTGGCTCTCTCTCTCCTTCCATCTTACTTTACTCTTTCACTTCTTCTGCTCCACGGATTTCAGCACAGCTGCCCCGAGAGCCTCCGCGTAATTCTGTCTCCACCTCCCATCACCACATCCAAGTGCTGGGATTACAGACGTGTGCTGTCACACTTGGCTTCTTCTACCTGGGCTCCTGGGATTGAACTCAGGCCGTGATGCTTGTGTGGCAAGTACTTATAGCTGCGAGCCATTGTGCCAGGCCTAAATTCCTATTCTTCTTTTTGTCAGGCTGGGAAGAGACCACGGGGACTTGTGCATGCTAGACAAGATCTACCACTGAGCTGCACCTCAGTCTCAGACTAAAACTCCTAAAACAGAGAGGACACTGCAGAGAAATATTTTCTGCTTTGATAAAGAATCGCTAATGTTTGCTAATGAATTGTTTTGGTGAACCTGAAATACTACAGCTCAAGACTTCTCATGCAGACTCACTGGAGGACGGAGGGGGAGAGTGAGGACAGAGGGAGGGACGGAGGGAGGACAACCTGCACCGAGTGCCTATTCATTACGATTCAGACAAACAGTGGGGGCACAAATCACCCGATGACACCATTAAATCTAATATATAATGCTGTCTTTATTATACAGATGCAATAAAAAATATTTATTGAGCGCTTACTCGCTATCCAGCACTCTGCCAAGAACAGCAGGAGAAATAAAACTACACTGGACATAGGCCTTGATGTTATGGAGCTCGTGATTTACACAGGCCTCCTTGAGGGAAAAGGCAAGACCAACCACAAAACTCTTATTTCCCAGTAACTGCTACACACACACACACACACACACACACACACACACACACACACACACCCGGCCATGAGCTTTGTGGATGTACAGTAGAAGCTAAGGGCTATGCTTACTGTGAGCTGAGCTGTTCAAACAGGAAGACTAAAGCTCGCGTATAATAAGGAAGTGGTGTCAACAGCAGCCAGGAGGGAGCGTCCTCCCCTGAGCTTGATGCCAGTAGAGTTTTCTTGACAATCTACAGGGAGGTAGAACGTCTAGAAGCTATTATTGTTCTGTAAACTAGCTAATTAGTGACCTCAGGGAAGATGGACTTACATAAAAGCGAGGCTACTGAAAAAAAAAAAAAAGCTGGTAAGATTAGCAGTAGCTTGCGGAAGCAGAGGCAATTTTCTAGGCACTGAAACTATGCATTTGACACCAGGGAGCTGTTAACAAGGTGAACTGTCTTTTCAAAGTAAAAGGGATCCACAAGAAGTTTAGAAGAAAACAGTAAGTATTTTTCTGGCTGAGTGAGGGAAGAGTTCTTACGTAACACAGCAAAGTAGAATCTAAACCCCAAACCCCTGAATCAGAGCTCATCAAAACCGAGAGAAAATTATAAATGAGAGGATGAAAGAAAATATTTGAGAATCACTTTTTTTTTTTTAAAAAAATAAAAGACTTGTATAAAGAACTCCTACGACTCAATATAGAGAACCTAGCAGGTTGGTTTAAGGAAAGACTTGGTAGTGAGATGTAGCTCAGAGGTATAGCACTTGGTCTACACACAAGCCCTGGGCTTGACCTCAGCACCATAAACAAACAACAAATGTCAAGAAACATTGTGTTAAACAAGATATGAGTGAACGACAAACACATTGGGAAAAACAAACCAAAACTATAACGAGAGCTATAAAATGACTGTGGTAAAAGACAATGAGCAAGGATTATTGCATCATTGAGAATGCAGAGAAATGGGATTCTCATACTCGTGTGGAAAAGTACAATGGTCACTGTGGAAAACAGTTTGGGAGGTTTTTTTTGGAGACAGGGTCTCTCTACATAACCCTGGCTGTCCTAGAAATCATCACACTGTATATCAAGCCGGCCTCAAATTCACAGAGATTCTCCTGTCTGTCCCTCCTAAGTGCCAGGATTAAAGCTGTGCACAACCCTATCTCCCTCCTAGGAGTCTTCTAAAAACTAAGAAACAAACAAACACAGGTCCAGGCACTGGAGAGATGGCGCAGTCATTAGGAACACTGGCCGCTGTTACAGAGGACCCAGGTTTTGCTCCCAGCACCCACATGAAGCCCATTCACAACTGGCAGTAACTCTAGTCCCAGGGGATCTGACACCCTCTTCTGGCCCCTGCAGGCACCAGGCACACTCATGTTTTACAAACATATATGCAAACAAAACATTCATGCACATAACATTGTCAGGAGCCAATTTCCTCCCCAAAATTATTGCAGGAACCATTGTCCTAAGGAATTTGCAGAGAACCCCACTTCCCAATTGTATTGAAAATTATTTTATTGGCAGAGCCTACCCCACACCCAATTATCTGTTAATAGAGAGCTATCTGTTAGCAGAACCCGTCCCACACTCCAATAATCTAGAGAACTAGGAGTGTCAACTTGCGACTTCCTGACC